AAATAAAATCTCGTAGGTGGATATCTTCAAATCTGGCGGTTGTAATCCACAAGGCTTGTATCCAACCTCGTTGATCCTAGTCCATCACTCTCAGTGATCTCAAAATTGGTCTCAAATCGTGTTTTGGAATCAAATTCAGTTCGAAAGGACTTCCAAGTGACTGAAATGCTTGGGCATCTCATCAGCACGGCCGCAGTAGACCACGAAGCCGCCTCTTCAGGCCGAGGCTTAAAGTTTGCCAGAGGCTTTCAGAAGAAAGCCATAGGTTCATGGAAAAGCCGGTCGATTGAAACGCAAGACATAAGCACAACCGACAGTCTTGGTCCAAAAAGCACAACAAAGCTTCCCATTTCGGGTCTTCGTCTCACACACCCTCAGGCATCTCACACATCTCACACCTGACAACGGTACTAGGAGCAACGACGCTACGAACGGCTCCTGGCCATACTAGGAGCAATCTCAGATCGTCACCTGGAGCCATGACCAAAACGTCTTCCAAGCATCGCCACATCGAACTCCGCGGCTGATGCAGCGAGCACAGCGCGACGCAGCTCCTGACGCCGCACCACGGCCGAGCATCGAAAAGACGAATTCGGCACGAACCCACGAACATGCAGGCCCGAAGTCGGAAAACACCTGTAAAAAGGCCCATATGGACAAGCGAAGCAAAAAACCGCCACCCTGGCCTCCAAGTCATTTTGCGCGTTTAAGCATGAAATGTGACTTGGTTCGGCCTCTCAATTCCCCCAAACATGTTCTCTCAATAAGCTACTAGTAACAAGTGCATCGTTTCTAGTAACAAGTGCCTTACTAGTAGTAACAAGATGTAACAAGAAGCTATTTGAAACAATAAGCTATTAGACCCAAGGACCCAAGGACCCGGAACCTCGACCATCCTCAACATGTCGCTGTTGGATCTCCTCGTGACTGCCAGCTCCTTCAGTAGCTCTGCTACCCGCTGTGCCTGCAAACCGTCGTTTTACGAAAGGGGCAAAGCGGTCTGGACGGGCAAGCGGTTCAGCCGCAGCTGATGCGACAGCACATGCGAAAACGGTCCAAGAGGCTCCACAACAAGCGAACATTGCTCCTAGTAGAAAGACCAGGAGCCCCTAGTAGCGTCCTTGCTCCTAGTAGCGATGCCAGGAGCCCCTTAGTAGCTTCTTGTTACTAGAATCCGAAAACAATATTTGTGTGGGTCAATTTCACGTGCTACCCGATTCTTCTCGACCCTCTAAGTAGCTGACAATGAAGACACATACAAATGCACAAGAGCCATCCAACCAGCCTCACAGTGGAAGAAGGAAATGATTCAACTTCCATAGTCACAACATTCTTTCAAAAGGCTTTCGCACAACAAGAGCCTTTTTTTGGTGGGCCAAAGGCGTAACCTTGAGTCCAACACACCACGGCCACAGGTGCAGCCTGAAAAGCGTCTAACCCTGTGGTGGGCTCATCTGCCAGCAAAGCACGAGGGCAACGGCCAACGCCCTGATCTTCGCCTTCCGTGCGCGGTCTGGGAGCCAGTCCAGTCTATCCTTGCAAAGCTCCATAACCAAGAGGCTTCCCTCTTGCAAAGGCGAGTCTACCGGGCATCTGATCTACATGGTCCTTCACAACACGTCAGCTCAGGCCTGCAATGGCACAGGCCACGGCCAAGCGCCGCTGCTCTCCTTTGGTGGTGTGGTCCACTCGCCTCCCATGGGCACAAGAAGTCCAAACACTACTTTAGATGAAATTGGAAGCCAAATGGACTCCAAGCTAAATGGCAAAGGGAACCTAAGAGTGATGGCCGCTCCAACCTAAAAGCAATGGCCTCCAGGGCCGCCCCTTCGTTGGGCCGTTGCTTCGCTTCACCCAGCCTGGTAGCAGCTGCGGCCAGGCCCACACGTTGGAGGAGGCCTTCAGCCTCCACTCGCGATGTCTTCATATCGGCGACGCATCTGGCACTAATCTGTTCGACCTTTGGTCGATCTTTTCATTGGAGTAACAAGTGCATCGCTTCTAGTAACAAGTGCCTTACTAGTAGTAACAAGGACGCTACTAAGGGCTCCTGGCCTTACTAGTAGTAACAAGAACGCTACTAGGAGCAAAGGGCATCGCTACTACGAACAAGAACGCTACTAGGGGCTCTTTCAAAAAGTACGAACGCTTTCACTTTTTTTTTTAAAAAAAAACCTTTTTTCACCTTTTTTCACCTTTCATTCTCAGCTTCATGGGTTCAGCCCCGGGAGAAAGAAGGTGTGCTTTGGATATGTTCAGTTTTTTTTGATCTAAATCTAAGGATATGGGAGTTGATTCCAACCCTGGAGATTTTCTCTCCCAACCCCCAGATTCCAACCTACTAGCTTCTGCTACTAGCAGTATTGGCCTCCAACCTACTAGCGATGGCCTCCAACCAAGAGCGAGACGTGACCATAGAATCCTTCACATTCCTTCCAGGCCTTGCCTCGTGCTGGGCTGCCATCAAACTCCGTCCAGCCAGTTGGGAGGCGAAGCAAAGGGTCTCGTAGACTGTGAGCTCAAGGAAGAAGGGGTCGTCCTGATGCGCACTTGTGTTCTGAAGATCGATGTTCTGAAGGAAGTGATCAGCCCAGTTTCCCAAAAAATCTAGGAACCAAATCATCAGTGTGAGCTATCCTGCGCCCAGTTACTAGAAGCTAACCTTGCCTATTAGTAGCCTACCTCTTTGCTTAATGAAGTAAGCGCCTACTTAATTAAATAAGGAGGGGGGCAGCTGGCAAAGAAAACATGTTTGACGCAATCCGTTAAGTCTATCACAGTTGGTGAGATTTCAGTCCTGCGCTAGCAATGCCACTGTGCCTCAGACGTGCTGAATATGTGGGGCATGTAGCTCTGACATGCTGCCACTACTGGGCCTCTACCCGGCCGATGTGTCTATGAGCAAGAGGTATTTTTCAACACTTCTAGATACTTCTAGATGCTGCTAATAGCGGCCTCCAACCTAGCTAGATACTCAGTCGTTACGTCTGGTGTCGCTCGTCGGCCGACGCCTTCGGCCACACCCACGCGGGAAGCACTCCACACGTGGCCCGACACCGTGAAGCGCCGGGGCAAAGTGCCGCTCAGCGCGCTCAGCAACGTGGACTTTCCTGCGTGCGGCGTGGGCGTAGTCAAACCTTAAGTCCTTGGGGGATGAAGTCTGAAAGGCATGGTGTGGTTCTTGGGCCGACTTGTTGAACTTGTCTTCTTCCGTTCAAGTGCGTCCGATCGCTCCTAGTAAGGCCAGGAGCCCCAATTGGTAGCGTCCTTGCTCCTAGTAGTAAGGCCAGGAGCCCCTAGTAGCGTCCTTGCCTCTGGTAGCGTCCTTTGTTTTTCAGCCTTTGGATTCGCCTTTTTCTCGTTTCGTCCTGCCCCTGATGGCCCAAGGATGCCCATCAGCCGTCCAGCGCGGGCAATCCTGCAGCTTGGCAAAGCGAGCAAACACACAAGCCAAATTCTTTCTTTTTGCAGATGGATCTTCTTCTTTCTATATCCTCTTTTCTTACGTCTCAAATTTTTGTACCTTCAAGTATCAGTTCTTCCATGAATCTCAAGGTTAGCCAACACCAGCCACTTCCGACTCAAGTCTGCCAAGCATCCCATTGCAATCATTCAGGAGCTGCTTGCCAGAGACACTGACGGCAAGGTCTCCTTGGTGAATCTTTGCCAAGGACTCTAGAGAAACGAGTCTTGTTGGGAATGTGCAGCACCGGGAAGGCATAAATAGTTCCAGTTGTGAGTTGTGGAAGCCAAACGAGACCTGCCATGACCTGCCCATGAAAGGGTCAATGACCTCGATAGCGATGAGTGCCACTCTTGATGAGATGTTGCTTTTCATCCGGAAACTGCCAGTGGACGGCAACGTGCCACATTGTGGAGAAGAACTAGGATGAAGTTGAAGGAATTTCTCTTAAAGCCTATGGTGGCCGCGGAACCCAGCTAGCCCAGGTCTAGCCGAAACTACATAGCTCTAGAAGAAGGTCTTTCCAGAAAAGCCCCTGGTAGAAACTAGAAGATTTGCTTGGATGCAAACTAATTATAGGAAGGAAAAGAGATGAAACGAGGAAAGAACAACAGGTCCAAAGGTGTCTAAAGGCCTAAAGAAAGTTGGTTGGAGGCCATTGCTATTAGGTTGGAAGCCATCGCTAGTAGGTTGAAGAAAGAAGAAAGAGACTGGTTTAGAACCTCCAACATCCACCTTCCAGGCCCAGCTTCTCCAGCACAGGTCGTTCGAAGAGACGTCGTCCATGGCGGCCGACAACCCCACCCAACTTGGGGGCACCAAGCTGTGGTTTTTCTATGGGAACTCAAGAAGGAAGGCTTGAAGGAAGCCCTTACTGGCGTCCTTTGTTTGCCCCTAGATCAATAAGGAAGGCTTGAAGAAAGTTATACTTTTTAAAACATGTCTTTTCACGGGGGGGTAGGTTGTAGGACGTACAGTAGTAACTTAAATAGCTAAGCAAGTAAGGGGTAAGAAGCTACTGGTAGCTTGATTAGTAACAAGAAGCTAGTAGTAACAAGTCTTAAAGGTCCAAATTTTCCTGAGGGTTTTGGAGGACACTTCAGGAAGGTCCGTATTGTGTATGTTTTGTCCTTTTTTTGCATCTTTCCTTTAATCAGACCTAAGCAGTGAGGCACCTGTTTGGATCATGCGAAAGTGGATGAATTGACCAGGCCAGGTTTGGAGTGGTTGCATGTGGAATGGAGTCCTTGGCAAATTTGCCGAAGGCGGTGGTCTGCGCAAAAGAACCATGGCACACTATGTAAACAAGTTCTCTTACAGTGGCAAGGTTGCTAACGTTCTCCTCACCGAATTTCTGAATGCCCTTGCAATCATATGCGAATCACATGCGAAAACCATCCTGAATCTCCTCTTTGAGCCATGGCTGTGTCCGTGTTGACCGTCTTTTTCTTTTTCCACCACTTTTTGCCTTTTGGATCCTTTTGGTCTTTCCGGTCCCTCCCAATCCGCCCAAGGACGCACCAAAAGAGTCCCGGGCTCTGCGGAAGGCGGTCTCCTTGGCGAAGTCCTCGCAACGTGGACTGAAGCGGTTGAAACAAAACAGGCTGGTTAGAAAACCATTTAAGAGAAGGACAAAAAGGAACGGATGTCACTTTGCAGATTGTCTTAACATTTCTTTTACCCAGGTAGCCTGGTTTTGACCCACACCCATTTCCCTCACCCGCGTCTGAGAAATTCTATACAATAGACACCGTTTGTGCCCACCAACTGTCTCCATGCCATGGGCCTGTCTGTTGACCCGGGCAGTGAATTGGGTGTTTACGACGGCAACGGGAAGTCGAGAGAAGTTGGAAGGAATCATCGCAGTGTTTGAACGACTCATCATGGAGTAAACTGGTTGGTTTGCTCCTAGTAGCGTCCTTGTTCCTAGTAGTATGGCCAGGAGCCCCTAGAAGCGATGCCAGGAGCCCCTAGTAGCTTCTTTGCTCCTAGTAGCGATGCCCTTTGCTCCTGGTCTGGTGTGTGTGGGTTGGTTGAACAATCCATTTTGGCCGATCCCAACCTGCAGTTGCTTCAGTTCCTCCGCATCCAAGGCCTCAGCACTGGTGTCGACGGCCGCGAGAAGAACCATAGGTGTGAGCAATAGCCCCTTTATGGCACATGTTATGGCACATGAAAGCTTGTTGGTGCCACAGTTTCCTTGTATGAAGTGCTTGGATCAAAACTAAAGCGCTGACTTCGCCCTGCTTCGGCCTGCTGACCTTCCGAATGAGCCAAGGATCTTTGAGCTCTCCAGCATCAACGGAGAACCTCAGCAGTGAGCGATGAAGCGAGTTGGACTGGCAAAAGAGTCAAAGAGAGCCTAGCTCGTGCAAGGAACACAGCCAAAACATAACCAACATGACCAGAAAGGCGAACATGTTCACGAGTTCTCCTGGGTGTCTCTCCCAAAAGCAAGCCAAGTGGTTTCAGCTGATCTGGCGCTCCAGCCACTGGTGCTGTAGGCATTGAATCATCGCCGGCCTCATGCGTTGCCAAACCCAATAGCGATGGCCTCCAACTTACTAGCGACGGCCTTGTGTGTAAGCTGTGGAGCCGTGGCGCCAGTTCCAAAGCAGCTCTGGCCAACAAGTACCCCATGAAATTAGCAGGACAGCGGTGGCGAAAGGAACTTTCGAACGACTTGGATTTGGCCTCTGCTTGTCGGAGTAGGTGAGCATCTCTTGGCCTCAGGAATTTTCGACGTTGAGGGAGTTCTGGATATTCAGATTGATCATCAAAGGTGTGAAAGAGTAACCTTTCTCTCTCTCCATTCCTCCCTCCTTCCCCCTCGCTCGCTCTCTCTTGCTTTTTGCACGAAAATCGGGCAAAAAACTCTTGCACCGGTTGAGCGGCCCACAGAGCTTTCGACTCAGATTGGAGGTCTTCACCTGACCAAGCGAACTGAGCTCAACAAGCGAACTGCGCAAACTGAGCTCAACACCTTGGAGTTCAACATGATTCTTGAGCCGTGAGCGGCTCAACCCACCTGTGCGGCACATGTCTGGCTGAGACTTCATCTTTTTTGCTTCGACTTCGTCCCGGCGTACGCCCGGTACGGCCCCCTTGGGCCGCCCGACGGCGAACGAGTCGTCCTCGATCTCTTTGAGACGGACGGCCGCGTGCGACGGTTTCGCTCAGGACGATCTCACGACCAATCCCACAGTCAGTTCTAGCAGTCTCATCAGTCTGTATCTCGAGTTGGACAGTTGGACCCTTGACCTGTGAGAATTGTGAGAATCGTCCAACTTCAAAGCCTCAAGGCTTGAAACCATCGAGAGTCATTGGACATCACTGGTGAGGCCGTCCTGCAATCCAACCTCACCGGTGTGTGCTAATCACTTTGCATTTGCCAAGTTGACTTGGAATCATCCCACATCATCTGCTGGTTTGCCTTTCTGTGCTGTTGCGGCGTGCGGATCGCTCTCAGGTGGGATCGCTCACGGCACGGCCTCGCCAGGGGCCGCGGAGGAGTTGCAAGGTGGACCGGAAGCCCTGCCGCTCGGGAGCGCCCTCGGTGCGCCGCTCCTGGGTTCGTCCTCAGCCGTGAGCCCAGTGAGCCGGTGACTGGGTCACAGCGGGGATGGACCCCGGAGTCCACTGGAGCAATGGTGGGCTTTGGGCAGGAAAAGGTTGGAATAGCCTCTAAGCTACTTGCAATGGCCGACCACCCTAGGGTGGTCTCCACCCTGGAAAGTGAAGGAAGCGAAGGAGTTGAAGGAGACTTTAGGGATCAAAATATCTCTCCCGGTCTAAGCCAAGCTTCGCATCATTTGCAATGGGTTTCGATCGATCTTCTTGAAGAGCGCCTTCATCTTCCCCCGGTGGCGTTGACGCATTTCCTTGCAAGACTGAAGACATGACATGAGATGTGCCGGCCTAGAAAGTTCCTCTTCCAATAGTTTGGAAGGAGGTTGGAGTGGCCATCGCTATTAGGTTGGAGGCCATCGCTATTAGGTTGGAGGGTTAAGTTCGACACACGAGGCGCCCAACATCTTCAGGCGTTTCCACCCGAGTGTCACTCTCCTCTTTGGCGTCGATCTTCGCAGCTTTTCGATGTCCTTCGCGCTGTCCTTCGCTCCTTTCCGGTCCGAAGGCGGGCAACGGATCCGTCTTCAAGAGCACCTCCGGCTTCCGCGGGGAGCTGCAGCTGAGGGCAATGCCGCTCGGAACGAGACTCGCGGCGACCGAGACGTCGGTGTCGTCCATGAGCGTCAGGGCCAAAAGCCCTGAGGATGAGGTTTTCAAACGCCTTTCATCTGAGCCAAAGGATTCAAAGGATTCATGTGGTGAGCAGCTTGGTTCTTGACATGGATGACAACTAGAAACATGAGCCATAGTGACAATGCAGGCACATTCCCGTGTTGGCTTGGATCATACCGGATCTTCCAATCTGCAAGGCTGGGTGTTTTTCTGGGTGGGGCAGGAATCCTTTGAAAGGTGAGGATGCACAAGGCTCTGAAACATCCGCAAACTACTTTTGAGTTCCAACATGTCCTGCCGGCAAGTCTTGTTCCACACCAACGGCAAGACTCTCTCAAGTCAGCGTCATAGAGCGTCACCTCATTCCACCGAACCATCCAATATATCATTACTATATCTCCATCTTCAGCCTATCTCCATCTCTCCAGTCTCTCCACCTCCGTCCTAGGTTGGAGGCTGCTAGTCGGTTGGAGGGTGAGTCCCAACAATTTGTGCTCTCTCCGTCCTCGACCCAAATCGAGCCTTCGTCCAGTCGGGCCCAAACCGGTGAAGTGTCTGCCAGTCTTTGGCCACCATACTCCTGGCGGTCGAAGTTGGATCTGCCTGTTGAACATACAACAAGTGCATCGCTACTAGTAACAAATCCTTTTGTATCCTTCCTGGTAAGCATGAGCACTTGCCCCTCCCATACTTTCTAGATACATCAATGTGCTTTCGATGCACAGGGGTGGATACCATTGGTCCGGTCTCTCCCATCTCTCCCCCATCTCAGGCGGCACTCAGAAAACGGCGGCAGGGCGGAATGGCCCTTGTCCTCACGGCAAACGGAATGCTTCCAGTGAGCATTTCAAACAGGATGCAGCCTGCGGAAAACGTCCGGGCATCGCGGACGGCTGGAGCGATCGGACGCCTCCTCCCTTTCTAGAGCGCAACATGGAGAATGGAACGTTGTCGTTGCACTCACTGTCACTCGAAGCGAACAACTCGCTACAGAATAGCCACGCATTCCAGATCTTTTCTTTCCTTTTCTTTGTGCGATGCTTTCTTCCTTTAGACCGTTCGAGACCATTCTTTC